AAGGATTTTTGTTTTAATCTAATTAATTAAAAGAAAAATAATAATAATAAGTAACCTTAAATTTACTAGGAAAAGGAATTTAAATAAAACCCTAATCTATTAATTGATTAAAAAAAGGAAATTAAGTTTATAAGAAGAATATTTTTTGGATTTTTTGTCTTAAAAATAAATTATAGTATTATAAAATATTTTTGGTCTTTTTAAATATTAAAATAATATATTTAAAATGTGTAAAAGAAAATAATTAAAACCCTACTTTTTAATTAAATTTACAAAATAATTAATGAAATAGATAAGGTATGATTAAATAAAATAATTTCTTGTGTAAAAAAAAAGTAAACTTTATCAAAATATAAATCTAATGTTTTTATATTTTTTCCGATTTTTTAGCGTTTAGATAAAATAATTCAAGAAAATAAATAAATAAAAATGAGAAAAGAAAACAAAATGGGCCAAGGGCGGTGTAAGTGAAACAGGGGGGTTAGAGGTAAGAAAAAAAAACAAAAGGACCAAAGGAGGCCCAACGCCTGTCCAAAAAAGTCAGAATGTATGAAAAAAATGTAAAAAAATCCAAAAAGGTACCACTGGGGCTCGAACCCAAGTCCCTCTAGTCACAGGCGCGCGCTTCTACCACTGGGTGGCTATACATTAATTTATATAAACAAAAAAATAAATATATGATAGTAAACAAGTCCATGGCCTGAACTTCATCTCCAACCTCACGCCCATGCAGAGCCTCTGTATCTTGATCAAATCTCAACAAAAATGAAAAGTGTAAACAGGAAACTTGTAGCAAATTTCCTCACTATTTCAGAAATGCAAAGCAATAAAATTATAGATCAAAGACAAGCATGAATTTTAATGGCCCTAATCTGAACCCTAAAAATCTCATAAACTTCAATCTTAAAATTCTCTAAGCTCAAGCAAAATTAATGAAAATTATGGACATGGTTAGCTTTAGGGCAATGATATCTACATTTTCATTCATAAATAAACCATTAATGATGCATGTATGAAAAGTTCCAAAGTCAGAAAACTTACCTTGCAAGAGGGTATCAAGTTTGGAGTTTGAGTAGATTTCAGTGAGTTCCAATGATTAGATTAGCTTCCTCAAGTTCCCAGGAAGCTAATGGGATGCTTAGCTTGAGCTGAAAGTGCCTGAGGAGTTCTGGAGAAGTCAAGGTGCAAGGTGCTGTTTTTGAAAATGGTGGATGATGATGGAGGTGTTACAGTAGTGCTGCAGGTGTTGGGATTATTTGTATATATTGTTTATAAGCTTCTAAAAGTAAAAGGCCAAGAAATGCACGAGCAAATTTGGAGATTGGATTCAAAACTCAGAAATGACAAGTTTTGAAGTGTTTTTGGTGATTTTGTGTTCTAGGTGTTTTCAGGGCTTAAGCATGCGTTGGATTTGTGGAAAAATGCTTGTGTATCTATAAGAAAACAGGTTCGAGTGCTTTTGAAAGTCAGAAGTACAAGTTACAAGCTATTTGCTATGTTACTTGATTTTTAAGAAAAGTGGGAAAACAAGTTTCAATGTGTAGTACAAGCATGGGCTGGGTGATTGCAAATGTATAACAAGTTTCTCTTGAGTTATAAGACATGTATGATCAGAAGAGAACAAGTGCAGGGCTCAAGAACAAGTTTTGTGCAAAAGGTCACTTTATCAAAATGGCAATGTGTACTTTCTTCTCAAAATGGATATAAAGCATGGCCTTGCATTAAATGCTTGAAATGAGACCTCTAACAGTTGTGCAAGAAATTAATTATGAAGTGCCTAACAAGTTTGAGGCCTGCAAAGTAGAGGTTATGCAGCATAATTTTGAATTTTTAATTTGTTCATCACAAAATGACTTGTAACTCAAGTGCTAAAACCCTAACTTCATCTCTTCGATTCTCCCTACTCAAAAATGATCTCAAGCAGTTCTTGGACATTTTGGAAATATTGAAATGTGCTCTACAACCCATATTTGAATCACTTTTGAAAATTCCCCTTGGAACTATATGAAAAGTGCCATAAAGTTGGGTCAAAATCCTGACCAAATTAGGGCAAAATTTCACTAAGTGTTTTTGTTTCATGACCATGTATTCTTAAAATTATAACTTGAGATCCAAGAACTTTTGGAAGGAGTTGTGTGAAGAAAAGTTGTATATTTCATGGAGATATACAACTTTCATGTTGTAAGTTTCTTTTGAATCATCTTGCATCATGGTGAAAAGTTTGCTCAAAGTTGTGAAAAAATAAGAAATTTCCAACACTTAGAAAAATTTCTGTTTAGAAATTTTAACTTTCAAAAATGAAATTTTGAATTTTTTATTTATTGATGAATAAGTTTCATATTTTGACATGCTTTGAAGAATTGTGATCTTTGACATTTGAATTTGACCAAAAAGTCAAAGTTTGACTTTTCAGTATACAGTTGACTAAAAATTCATCTGTCAATCCATTGGACTTGAGCAATATTTTGAGCCATATCATTTGGTAAAAATGATGCAATTGGACTCTTGAGATCATGCCTTAAACCAATTGATCATTTGCTAGGTCAAAAATCAGAAATTGCCCTTTCCCAGTCAAAACCCTAATTTTGACTATTTTGCCCTTTTGAAGATTTGATCAAATTTATTGAGGAATTATGGTCCAAACTTGATCAAATGATACATATGAGTTTAAAATGTCGATATGGATGAGTAATTATGAAGTTTGACTGTGAATTAGTCATAGTTGACTTTTCCCCCAATACAACTGATTTTTAGGTCAACTGCTCAATTGACTGAGCAAAAGTGTGATCCAAAGCTTGAAACTTGATATGAGTAATCTTGAGGGTCCATAACGATCCATGAAAGTCATATGGGGAATTGGAAGTTAAAATATCCTTGTGCAATCTCAAACCCTAATTTTGGTCATTAGTGCTTAAGGAGGTGTCTTGAGCTGATCAACCCTAATGCAGTCTTGAGTAAAAGGAGATCTTGTGAGCAACTTATTGATAAATGAGAGGGAAAATTTTAGGGTACAACAACTTCCCCTGTTCAATCTTCTTAAGCCTGAAGAGTTAGATTGGCAAGTTTTTGCCATTCTTGACTCGAAGGTGGAAGATGATTGGACATTAGAGTGCCCAAAAATTTGCACTCGGTGATGTGATAATTGATGGTATAGGGAATGGGCTTAAAGATGCCATTTGGACGGATGATGGAAATTTGTTGGATATGGGCTTGTAGATGCCATCCAGATATGATTGCTGAACCATATTTGTAAGCTAAATCTGAATGAGTATCAGAATGGCATCCGTGTCTGGAGCGTATCTGAATTGTATCTGAAGATTGAATCTGAATGAGTATCAGGATGGCATCCGTGTCTGAAGTGTATATGAACTGTATCTGAAGATTGAATCTGAATGAGTATCAGGATGGCATCCGTGTCTGGAGCGTATCTGAACTGTATCTGAAAGTTGAATCTGAATGAGAATCAGGATGGCATCTGTGTCTGAAGCGTATTTGAACTGTATCTGAAGATTGAATCTGAATGAGTATCAGGATGGCATCCGTGTCTGGAGCGTATCTGAACTGTATCTGAAAGTTAAATCTGAATGAGTATCAGGATGGCATCCGTGTCTGGAGCGTATCTGAACTGTATCTGAAGATTGAATCTGAATGAGTATCATGATGGAATCCGTGTCTGGAGCGTATCTGAACTGAATCTGAATGAGTATCAGGATGACATCCGTGTCTGGAGCGTATCTAAACTGTATCTGAAGATTGAATCTGAATGAGTATCAAGATGGCATTCGTGTTTGGAGCGTATCTGAACTGTATCTAAAAGTTGAATCTGAATGAGTATCAGAATGACATACGTGTCTGGAGCATATCTGAACTGTATCTGAAGATTGAATCTGAATGAGTATCATGATGGCATCCGTGTCTGGAGCGTATTTGAACTGTATTTGAAAGTTGAATCTGAATGAGTATCAAGATGGAATCCGTGTCTGGAGCATATCTGAACTGTATCTAAAGATTGAATTTGAATGAGTATCAGGATGACATCCGTGTCTGGAGCATATCTGAACTATATCTGAAAGGCCTTTGAACATTGTTAATGGTAGCTATTGATTAACCTTATCCTGAAAAGGGTAAAATGTTAGCTAATATGCAATGTCATGTTGTATGAAATGCATGGTATAATGAGATTGTGATATATGCATTCGTGCTATCAATGTTTATGATATATGGATGTGATGTATGCGTATGTGAGCTAATCTTCTGCACTGCTTGTTTGAATTGGGAAAAATAAATCCCCGATTGCTGCTGAGGATACGGAGTGAAAGTCTTCATGTTTTGAAGTGTTGATGAATTTCCACTTAGAGAAATAAACTTTGTCGTAAGGGAAATGTCGTGTACTTCTTGTAAAATCCTGTTGGGGAATCCTGAGAAATTGGATGACTTCCGCTGGGGATTAAACTGCACACTGCGGGGGATTTTATGGAAATAGCTTAGAGAGATTTCCATACCTCTTAAAGTCATCAGTGATTGTCTTTCTATTTTGTTCATTTGTAAACAGTAGTTACGTTTAAATGCATATGTTCAAATCATTGGACGTTTTTGTAAACAAAACACAAAAGTAAAGAAAAACAGATAGTTTTGAACTTTCAAAGGGATATCTTTGTATTGACTTTGAGTAAGTATTTTTGTACAATGAGACAAACATTCTAGTAAGAGAATGCCATCGTGAAAATTTGATACAAAGAAAAGATAGCTATGTGAAATAGAGATAATTAGTTAATTAAACTGGATGTAGCTTGGGTGATGAATGATGTTAATATGTCAAATTTCCGGAACTTGATATAAAAGCACTTGGATGCTTTCTGTAAATTAGCACGGTATTGAATTGGTTTAGTTCATAGTTAGAATGTTTCAAGTTTATTGTTGCAGGTCTGAGTATGCTATATTTTTTTGTAGATTCATATGCAGACTAGAAGTTTATGATGTCCTTGATGTGAGTCGATGTTATGTCTGCTGCAGGTTTAGGTGTATGTGATGATGCGACCGGTCTACTTATGTTTGTGATATGTACAGGTACTGTTGTTGAAGCTGATGTGCATGTCCTTTATGAGGAAAGTCTGGTAGAGATACATGATTTTGGGGTCCATTTGGTGGTCGGGCATGGATTTGTCTTACTCATGATATGCTATTTGAAGATGGCTCATGGAAGGCAAAGTTTTGGCATGGTTTTGTACATGTTATTGTTTAAGGTTGGACATGAAAACAAGTTGAAGGGATAATGAAATTAAAGATTAGAAACATTGGCCTTTTAGGAAAATTTGTTGACTTTGGTCAAAACAGAATTTTGTTTTCAACTTTCCATCATGGTAATGTAATGTAACAATTGGCTTTGGTGACATGTTTGTATTTTTGGTGTAAAATCTTGTAATAGAATGAAGTTGTAATGAACAAGGTATGGTGTAACTTGTAACCCAAGTCAGTAAAATTAGTTTCCCTTCTTCAAATCAAGATGTGTTTTTCCCAATACTTGAATCAAAATCAGATTGCTCCAAGTATTCAAACTTTATGTCTTTTGCAGCTATTCTTCCAATTTGATCAATTTGTACCAAAACTTGTAACACGAGCAAACCAATGGATGAATTAATGATTTATGTTAATGCTTATCATGAAAGAATTTGAACATAGATAATCTTCAATCAAGATGGTGAATCATTTGATCATGAAGCATAAGATAAGATGATCTTAGGACACAAAATGAACCATCCTCCAATTCAAATCCTAATTCACATGATAATTTGTACTTCAAGCAATGATTGAAACCCCCTTGAATGCCGCAACATTAAGGAAATAAGCCACAATTCATGTGAAGATGATAAGAATAATAAGATGATGAATGCCTTAGGATTCAAGCAACCGTGCATTTTGTTTGATGGAGAAGAACTAGTAGAAGCCATAACTCTTCTCTTGACACATTAATGATCACACACATAGAGGAATATATCTTGACTCATAATCCATAAAGAAAGTCCAAATGTACATTATTGAGAAAACCACTTGATTATATCATGTAATTTGAAGGAAATCTGAGATGGAAACCACACTTGAAATGTTGAAGGAGAGAGACTCAAGATAGCCATGGAGCCAACCTTACTTCAAGAGGTCCCCAATTGAAATCCTGATGAAGCACTAAGAAACACAAATGAAAACCCTAATGCACTTTGTTCTGGATGAATATTCGATGAAGAAAGAAGCCCATAATAACCCTGAACCAAAATCCTGATTCCACAGTCCAATACTCAAAGAAAGAATTAGATGTAATCAATCTTATTTGATATATGCACCTCAAACCATTGTGAAACCTCGATTTGCAAGGTCCTCGATCCCAATGCCACATTTATTAATTAATGATGCATGATATTGTTAAATGACCTAATGGAAGGCATACAGATGAAATTAGAAGTGCAAGACGCATAAGCCAGATAAAAGTAAAAGGGTTAGACAAATTTGTGGTATGAAAACAAGTAGTATTGAATTTTATATAATTTCTTCTGCAATATTTGTTATTCAGGTTTGATTATTGGATGGAATACTGAGTGATTAGGTTGATGTTCATGCAGGTTTATTAACTTGGTTGAAACTGGGACGAGTTAGAGAATATACCTCAAGGATCTCTGGCTGACCATCTTCTAGAATGTGGTTGTCAACTCACAGAAGGATATTCCATGCATCCAGGTTTGCTAATATTCCATATGTTTCGAGACGTAATAATATAATACAGGTCACATGTAGTGTGAAAACCATGACTCTTAGCCTTGTCTTGTTTATTTTAGGAGACAAGTATCGTGATATGTCCTTCCAGAAATTACTGAATTTATCACTTCCTTATGCTGAAATCCGTTTTGACGGAGAAGTGTGTGTGGCGAAGGCTGAAGGTAGTGGCAGAGTTCTAAAGTTCAATACATGTGCTGAACAATTACTCTATGAGATTGGAGACCCCAATGCTTATGTGACTCATGATGTAGTAAGTTTGGTCTTTGTTATGATTTATGATGCAACAGACAACGAGGATTTATGACTAAAGGGTAAAATATGCAAAAATAAAAATTCATATTGTGCTCTATAACAAATCATTGATTTTCAGGATGTTTCCTTCCTTCCATTATCGAACAATAGAGTACTATGTTTTGGGGCTAAACCATCTACTATATCAGTTCCTGAACTTTTGCAGTTAGTTCCTAAGGTACATGTCACACAACCTCTTGAATTTTTGATTCAAAAGGATGCGATTAAGGTGTATAAGTTGCACAAAGTGCTCTATGGCTTCAGACAGTGCTCTATGGCTTCAGACAGGCACCTATGGCATGAAATAAGAAAACCGACTCATACTTAGTCGAATTGAGATTCATCAAATGCAAATATGAGTATGGTGTCTATGTTAAGGTTGTGGCACAAAATATAAGGATCATCTACTTATATATTGCTGACTTGCTGGTAATTGGAAATAGGTTGGAGAACTTGTCGAAGTTCAAATTACTGATAGTGAGGGAATTTGAAATGTCGGATCTGGAAAAATTGTCTTATTTCCTAAGCATGGAATTTCAAATGTCGATGCAAAGAATGGTGTTACATTAAAGGAAGTATGTCAAAGAGATACTCAAGAGATTCGAGATGGATGATTCGACTCCAACATCTTCGTCTGTCAAACCAAGTTTAAAGTTGGAAAAGCATGGAGAGGAAGATAAAGTCGATGTAACTTTATTTAAATAAATAGTTAGATCTTTGAGATATGTGTGCAACATTCGACCTAATATAGGTTTCATAGTTGGATTAGTAAGCAAATACATGAGTGAACCAAGAGAGTCACTCATGAAGGCTGCAAGAAGAATCCTGAGATACTTAAAATGATCGATAAACTGTGGAATTCTATTTCGATGAGATTCTGAAAGCAAAGAAGATACAGTTACTTGTTATTCAAATGTTGATTGCTGTGGAGATAAGGAAAGATCAAAGAAGCACAACTGATTGTTTTTTTAAGTCTTTGGTGCCCCAATCTCATGGTGCTCGAGAAAACAACCAGTGGTGGCATTGTCATCATATAAGGCTGAATATTTAGCAGGATCCTATGATGTGTGTCAAGTAATTTGGACCAGATTTGGGCTTGAAGAAATAGAAGTCGAAGTGAAGAAATCCTTGGTGTTGTAGATCGACAATAGGTCAACCATAAATCTTGCAAAGAATCTAGTTTTGCAATGGAAGGAGTAAGTATATCGAAGCTAGATTTCACTTCTTAAGAGAGAAGGTAAATCGAGGTGATCTTAAAGTAAGACATTGCTCAAGTGAAGCACAGTTGACCAACATTTTCACCAAAAGATTGAAGATCGACAAATTTCTTGAAAAAGAAATTAGGAATAGTTTAGCTCGACTATGATTAGCGTAAGTTCGACAACTTGGATTATAGGGGTATGTCAAAATATTAGATATAATCCAAGTTGAGTAATCCAAGTCCAAGACTAATTAGGGTTTGTTAGTCTACTTAGTGTACAAGTTAGTTGTATATAAATAGACATAATTTATAATTCAGTTTGTACAATACAATTCAATTCAATTCAACAATAAAATCCTTATTTCTTTATTCTCTCTCTTTCTCCCCTCACTAAAAATGTCTTATGCACTAATAATGTTAACCTTACAAATTCACCCCGCACCACCCTATCATAAATCATTATCACTACTTCAAGAGTCATACATTAAAAAATTTGAATGAAGAATTTTTATTCTATTAGATGAAAAAATAACAGCTAATTTGTCGTAATTATGATTAGTTAATTGACACATCATTTATGAAATCAAGCTAGAACTACTCACATTTTTATTTTACAAAAATAGCAACTGACAAAAAAGAAAAACGACAAAATTAGTTATTTTTGTGGCACACATCCAAAAATATCCTTCATTGAAATAGTCAAACAAACAACCTGTTTTCACTCTAATCAAACAGGCAATATCCACAAATCACAACAAAATTTTTCCATTTTTGCTTCAAATTTTTTGGGTCTCCACTCACTTCTCTCAACCATTTACTTAAATATATCTATCTATATCTAATCCATCATCTTATAATATAATCAAGTTACATTTCCTTAGACATTTACAAGACTTTGCTTTAATCCCCATTTGTCTGAGGTTTGTACCCTCATTGAAATTTTTATATTTCAATCCTCAGACATTCAAAGCCAAAACATAACATTAGAGAAAAAAACTAACCACAATCACAAGAAACAAAGATTATCTTGTGAGTTTGAACTAAGGGGAAGAAAACATGTCTTTCACTGGAACTCTTGATAAATGCAAGGCATGTGACAAGACTGTTTATGTTGTTGATTTGTTAACTCTTGAAAATATTCCTTACCATAAAAACTGCTTCAAATGTAGCCATTGCAAAGGTTGTCTTACGGTATGTTTTTTTTTTCCTTCATATCTTGTTCTTAGATTCATCCCAGGTTCTTTTTAATGATTATGTTTTTTTTACTAATCCATAATGATGGTATAAAAAACTGGTTTAGATGAGTACATACTCTTCCATGGATGGAATTCTCTATTGCAAGACACATTTTGAACAGCTTTTCAAGGAATCTGGCAATTTTAGCAAGAATTTCGGTATCATCAAATCCATCATTCTTTCATTTTTACATGTAAAATTTATTCATTTGGCTAATAACTATGTTTTTGTTTTTCTTCACTTTGAATATATCAGCAAAGTCTTCTGACAAATCAAATGACCTGGTATGTTCGATATCTTATAGTTTTATGTTTCATAAATTTGAATTTATAATATATATATATATATATACTCCGCTAAAAAAGATTGAATCAGCTACGAAAAATTAGAGAAATTTCTTTATAAAATTTTGTCTCAAAAAATTCGAGATGAGTTAATAATAATATATACATTTATACATCTATATATACATATATACATTTATATATATATATTAGTGTTATATGATGTTGTACCTAATATGTTAAAATGTGTTGATCATCAACAGAATAGGACACCAAGTAGACTATCTTCCATGTTCAGTGGAACCCTGGACAAATGCGCAACTTGCTCTAAAACCGTGTATCCGCTGGAAAAGGTTTGTCGCGATTCTTGATTTCGTGGAAAATTGCAGTTTTTATCGCGATTCTTGAGCTTCAAGACTAAATTTCGCGTGTTATCTGTTTGCATTTTTCGTATCTGATTTCTTTTGAATCACGATTATTGTAGGTGACACTGGAAGGTGAATGCTACCACAAGAATTGCTTTAGGTGTGCTCATGCAGGGTGTCCTCTGACACATTCAAACTATGCTGCACTTGATGGTGTCCTCTACTGCAGGGTGCATTTTGCGCAACTTTTCATGGAGAAAGGTAACTATAGCCATGTACTCAAATCTGCACACAAGAGGAATGGATCTTCTCCACCTTCTGAACCAATTGAAGTTGTTGAAGAGCCTTCACAATCAGCAGAAGCACCTCAAGACCCACCAGAAGAAACCTCTTGAATGAAAACAGTAAAAATAACATGATAAAACTTCCTTACTCCCTTTGTTTTGGAGCAAGGTTGTTTTTTAGTTAAAGTTTACTCTCTAAAATATTTATTCAAAAGTTGTTTTTTCAGTTTTATTTGTAAGCTTTAACATGAGAGTTTGTTTATGTGTTCAAAAGTTTCACACCAAATATTTGAGCAATACAATATATTCTTTCATTCAAGTTTTGATTTTGTCTTACAATGTGGTTACTTGTGTTACACGTTTACTATAAGTGCTCATTTTTCAGAAATTAATAAGTTCATGGATTATCTATATCCTTGTGTTTATGCTAAGTCAAATTTAATCATATTATTGCATGTCTAGTATTTCGATGAATTGGATATCGATACATGATGAAAATGCTTGAATCATAGACTTGTCACATTTTATAAAATAATTTAGTCACAATTAACATAATCACAAACCAAATACTTGACATTAATACTAGTACAAATATATCCATCCAAGTTAAAATATTTTTTCAATAGTCTGAATGACTCCGAATAAAAGAAAAAAAAAACATATCTAAAATAATAACACTACGTTGATATTTAATCGTACAACAAAGGCTTATGTCACTATCTAAAACTACACATATAGGCAAGGTACATAACAAATTCATATAACATGTCAAAGTAGAAAACATAGCAATTAACATGTTCACAAACAACTCACAAGCCAACTCTCTCTTCTTCATCCATCATTTATCTAAAACAATACCTATGGTGAGTTTCTAAACTTAGGTCATGATCATAATTTAGGCTAGTATAGGGTTCTTGCATGTTGTAGAATGGAAGCTTAATTTGTGACATGATGAATGCATGCTAGGACCTAGTATCTTTGATTGTGAAAATTTCTGTGGTCTGTGGATAGTTTGATGCCATGATGTCCTTAAATGAAACTTGAGGTTAGGGAAAAATATTGTAGGTTTAAAATGATTTTCTAGTGTTGAAAAAGTTTTCTAAGATCTCGAAGTGTGACTCGAGTCAAATGAACGCTTGACTCGGGTCACAGAAGGATTTTAGCCTTGACTCGAGTCAGAAGGAAGCTTGATTCACATCAAGTTAGGCAAAGTTGTCCAAGGAATTTGTGACTCGAGTCATGGAACTTCCTGACTCGGATGATGAATCTAGAATTGAATAGAAATCCTACTTTCATGCATTAAGCTCCAAATTAAGTTGATTTATAACCCTTAAGTGATTACCACAATTCTGATCATAATATCATTAAGATGTTGTTATAAGCAATTAAGGGATTAGAATCATGTTGTTATAACCCATAAAATCATTTTAAACTTGTCGGATGACACACTTGGATAAATTCCTTTATGATGCAAATGATGCAATAAAGCAAGGACTGCAACCCCATGTCCTCAAGAACTAGGAAATAAAGCCTTTAGGTGTTCAATAAGTTGAACCCGCTAGAGTTTGCAGGGACCACCAGCCCACTGGTTGCCCAAGGGTGGCTTAAAGGAATGGAAATAATATTCAAAGTATCAAAGAGCACCAAAGAAGAAAAGGTAGCTTTTGGCACTCATATGCTGAGAGATAGGGACGAACCTAAAAAATTTGAGTAGTGAGGACAATCGTATATTCTTACAACAATGATCAAATATATAGTATATTGAAAACAATTAAAAATTGTCATTTTAATCTTTAAATATATGATACATTTTCACTATAATTTTTAAACTTATCAAAGTTATCAATACATATTCAAATATATATTTTGCTACTATTGTATATTTATACGAAAGGTTAATAAAATTTTCTTGTATGAATAAATAGCATATATATAGTATTAATGAAATATCATAATGAAACATCATGTAAAATTTTGTGGGGGCCTCAGCCCACACTCACTACAATGTGGGCCCGTCTCTGCTGAGAGGGGCTGCTAAAACATGGTGGAAAGGTTTCTCAGTCGTCACGAAGGTAACAAATATTCTAAAGTATTGTGAACACTTCCAAGTCGTGTTTCTAAGTATTTTCTAAATAGTATAAAGGCTGGTGGGTTTTCAACCATTAAGACACGGAAATATGTCTATGGCCGATTTTGCTATAAAATTTGAAGAGATGGATTGCTTCTCAAATCAAGCCTTGTAAGAACCTTACGATAATTAGAAGATCATTCAGTTCAATTTTGGCATGAACACAAATCATATGCATAAATCAAATGCACACATAAATCACTCCCTCTTTTTTGCCATAATTTGGCAAACACATAGATAGAAAAACCAGACCAATACTTTAAGTCGTGATTAAAATAGAAAAAAAACTAGAATCAATGCCATAGTGCAGAACCATTATTGAAGTTACATAGCCAATACAGAACTAGGCCCAACCACTACTTATGAATAGTAGATATAAGCAACAATCTTTCTTGAGTATCATCATATAATCATCTCCCTCTAATTTTCTCAAAATGGGACAAGGGCAATAGAAAAATTCATCCTAGAATATGCATAAGTACTAGATCATAAGAACACAAGAATATGATAAGTGCAAATTATATTTATTTTTGTATATAATTTTTGTTGCACTTATCAACTCTTTGTTGTTCATATCAGTTGAATAACTCAACTTTGTGTAGAAATTCGTTTATTTTGTGTATAATGCATTTTTGTTTACATAATATATAGATTGATAGTTTTGTATTCATTTTGTAGGTATTTGAGCATTGTTGAAGCAAGAAGAATAAAAGCTCTAAGATGCATTGTTGGACCAATAAAAGAATAAGGCCAAGAAGAGAGAGAGAGAGACAGAGACAGAGATAGAGAGCCATTAGAGTTATGCAGGAAGAGCAACACAACTTGTTGTTCTGGTGTGCCTCACCGGACGAATCCTCAGCGAGGAGCCTTTGCGCCAACCTCGTTGGGCGACGGAGGGGCGAGAAGAATGGATTTTTCCAGTAGCCACTAACTTGGACTCGCTAGCAGCTCGTTGGGCGAGGAAACCTAGTGTCGCTGGGCGAAGCTTCCCTTCATCGGGCGAGGGTAGATATTTTTAGCCAGTTGCGTACGTGGCGCAACCTGGGCCTTGTATTTAAGGGTCGTCGTTGAGAGACGCTTTTATGTCGCCAGAAGACACGTGCGGACCATATTTTTGTATATATTTATATTTCATTTATTTTGTACGGGTTATGGTTTTGGGGATGTTTTTTATTCTCCCAACTCCATCAACTGCACCTTTCCTTAGGTTTAGCATACAGATGATCCAGGGTGGATTGCTCTTTGATCGACGCTGACAAACCGAGAGATTTGTGCTTCATTTCTCTTCTTCTTTGTGTATTCTTCATTTGTTGGGTTTTATGTATGTATTTACTTTAATCTTATGTATATTTGTCGCTCATGGCATTATATTTAATTTGCTTTACAAATATTTGTCGATTGTTATCCTTGATTTTTGCTCTGTGCTAGGGATTTGGGTTGCTATAGACATATACTTCTCAAATTCTTATCTAGGATGATTTTCTAATAGTATCTAGATTCTAGACATAGATTTAGTGCTATTATTCATTTGGGTGTATTTGATTAAAGAAGATGGGAGGAGATGAAGGGATTCTAAAGCATAAAAAAAGCCAAGGAAAAGAATGGTCTAACTAACAAGAAGCCAACACTTGACATGAAGAAGTCAATATAGAATTTCCATCATTTAGATTAAAACTAAGCAAGCAAAAATACTAAACCTCTGAGGAACACCAAGCTTCAAATGAATTAATTCTTCATAAAAATTGGGCAGAGTAACGGTTGTATACAGAGGAACTCTTCAATACAGACAAAGCATAAAATTAAAATAACCTGCACACAAAGAAAATCAACCCAATGCCTTGGAGTAAACCCCAAGAACTTCAGTGCTAAGGATAGTAACTAGATAGTAACAAGGTCCCCAAGTATCAAAACTTCTAATCCTAAGTTCGAGAGATCCATAACTCCATAGTGCTAAGGATAGTAACTAGATAGTCTAAGTAACCTTAAAGCTTTTAATGCTCAAGTTGATTATTAAGTGTCTTCAAAAGAAAATAGAAGCTCAAATGAGAAAAGATAAAAGAACATAAATATAAATGCTCAAGTGAGCAAAAGGAAAATATCATTAGATGTAAATGCTAAAATAAATGGTACATAAAAGTAAAGGCACAAAATAAAGGCATAAAGTAAAGTTAATTGTTAGTGAATTAGAAGTTAGAAGTCAAGTACAAAAGGTAAGTTGAATGACCATCTTGAAGCTTGCTTTTGAAAACTCATTAGAAGATTGATAAAATCAAAGTCTCTCAACAACAAGTTTCAATTTCTTTTTGTCAAGTATATCATTCATTTCAAGTGCTCAAAGCAACCACATATGATCAATGATGTTCAAATGATTCACTTAGACCAAAATTCATGAAGTTCATTAGAGGATTGATAGAATCAAAGCCTCCTAACAATGAACTTCAAAGTTATTGGATCAAAAGTTTCAAATTAAACATACTCAAGCTTACAAACATAGGTTTGTGTCACGAATGATCATTTTTGGAATTGGGAAAATTTAACGGTATGCTAAGCAATCGTAAGTGGACTTATGTAGAAGCCACACCTATTTTGAGGTCGGTCAATAGAAATTTATGTACCAAACATGTTAGAGAAGTGATATGTAGATCATTCTCCAAAAATATGTAGCACACGTAGAAACAAGAAAGGGATAAGATGAAAAGGGAGGGGAATGATAGTGTAACTAATGTATCAAATGAATTAGGGTTTCAAATATCATCAACATCATTCATCCATTTTGGTGGATTTGGGTTTTCAACCTATCAACACCCAAGATCCAATGAAATAAAAGAACTTGTCCCAAAAAAAACACTCAAGTGTCCCCAAATCAGAACCAATCAAAAAAACAATTTTTTTTAATATAAACCAAAATTTTAATGAATTAAAAAGGAAATAATTGGTAAAATATACAACATGTATTAAAACACCAAATAAAAATCCTAAAAAA